CCACACCAGTCCTGGCACGGATGGTTCTTTGTTGCTGTTGCTGTTGCTGTTGCTGCTGTTCAAAGGAACTGCCGCAGCACTAAAAGAAATGAAGGAATGAATTATTAATGCTTGCAAACAGAATCTCTAACTCTATTAGTATTCTGTCCTTTGCTGAGCCTCTCATGCCAAGGCACTGATTTTATTACATAGCAGATCAAGGCACAAGGCACACGTGGCTACATTGGATTTGGTCAATTAACGAGGCTACAGAAAACTGTAAATTATTTGTAGTTTCCGGTGGCACCGCTTGGCATAGTAATGTTTGTGCCTTTCCCCCCTTGGCTTCGACACACACCTGGCTTGCCTTTGTTATATCAAGGCCCTGTGGTTGCTGTGAAAACATGCTGGTGATTTGATGCTGAAGGGAATACACAGAAATCCCAACCTAGGTCCTGGTCCAGTTTCTTCTCAAAGATCAGAACTAGAAAAATTGGTGCGGTGAGCATTTATTTCATTAGTAAACCAACTCTTTTGTCTTTGGGCACCCGGAAAGCTAAGTACAGCCTACACAAACACACACACCTGCCTACCCCTGTGCGCGCACACACACATGCTTATGGGTACCCAAGACACATGCACTCACATGATGGGAACCCACACTTGGACACACACACCGGGACGCAGCTCTGCCGTTTTATCTCAGACATGCCAGGGGTGAGTTCTGCTCCTCTGGGCTTTTCCTCTCTGAACGAAGCATTCTAATTCAGAAACTACCCCAGCTCTGGGGAAATAATCTTCAGATTAGTTTCTCTGTCTGCCAGGAACACAGGGCCATGTTCCATTTTTAAAAAGCGCCTTATTTGGGGAAATGCTGGGGGGGCCCTGCATTTCTGTTCCGGAGCCCCTGAAGCTCTTGGAGGTGCTGGTGGGTGGTGTGTGTGTCGCTACCCAATTTCCCACTCGCTGTGTTGTCAGGGGCAAATTACTTCACCTTTCTATGCCTCAGGCTCCTCAATCAGAAGCTGTAGCTAATGATAGGACTTCCCTCTGAGGGCTGTTCAGGATGAACTCGGATTATACATGGACCTTGCTTAATGGAGTGCCATGCAGATAGGAAATACCGCATAAATGCTGATTCTGTGGCTATTAGCCCTAGACCCACACTCGTCTAATCCTCCTACCTTTTAGGAACACTCACGCACGCATGCACACACCTTGAACACACAGTGCTGGAAGAGACAATGCTCAAAACCTGGCCTTCTATCTGGACAGCTCCTTTCCCCCATGGTTTTGAAAGCCCCTTCATATCCGTGTTCCCCTTTTTGCCTCATAAAACCTCGTGGGATAGGAAGGCTGGAATTAATTGTTCCCGTTTAAAAAATAAAGGAAATAGAGGTGTACAAAGGTCACAAGATATACCTGTAAAAATTCATCGCAGTGTATTTATAACACACACACACACACAGAAAAGATCAAACACCCAGCAGCCGAGGAGGGTAAATGAAGGTAGCCCTCTGCAACAGGCGATAGTCGTTAAGAAATCCGTGTACGGGTTTTCGGCAACGTGGGAAATACCTCAGCTGTAATGATCAGTGAAAAAAGAAGGGCACAAAACCGGATGGACAGGAAGAGTTCTGTCCAACAATCAGGGGCAGGAAAAAGGGCAAAATATTGACATCGTTCCCAAGAGAGGTTACGCTTGCCTGATATTTTTTCCTTTACACTATTCGGTGTTTTCCAAAATTTCCATGATGGGACCATATTATTTTTATAATTAGATAAAAGAAATAAGCTGTTGTGTTACAACTGCTTCCCTGAGGACGTGCTGGTGGCAGAGCCAGTCCCCTGAACCTGTCAGCAATGGGAGGAATGCTGACCGTTCCCTCCTGGTCACTGGGTCAGCCTTTCACACCAACACTCCCCAAGGAAATGAATCAACTGTCATACAACAATAATTGTGCTTTTAAGACCTCTTCCCATACCCTGAATCCAGACTTTGACACCGATCCCCAATCCTCCAGTGTCGACATGTGAGAGAGAGAGAGAAGGCATCCTGGCTCTTTCAGGAAAGTCCACCTCACAGATGATATTACACAAAGAAGTAATTATAATCACGGAGTTTACTGAGCATCCACTATGGGCCACGTTTTTCAAACAAATTCTCATAACTATCCTGTGACACAAGAACTATCCCACTTCATAGAAGAGGAAACCAAGGCTTGAAAATGGGAGGGCACCTGCCAAGGGGACCCAGCAGGTCAGGAGCAGAGTCAGGTAACACCCAGGCCTGTATGAGTCGGAGCCCATGTTCTCCACCCACACCGCGGACCGTGCGGGGGAGTCCCTGGTGCACACAGGAACCAGCCCCAGTGCTGAGACCCGGCTGGTTCCTCTCTGAGTGAACACTGGAGAGAATGTCCCCTGGGAGGCCTGCTCAGGCTGCTGCTTCAGGGAGGGTTTGCCACTGGAGGGAAAATGAAAGGATGATTTCCTGAAGGTTATTAACCCCTCCAAGACATGAAGCCCCTGAGGAGACTGCTCTGGGCCTTCTCTTCATCACAAGGCTTTTGCAAGGATGTCTGAGACCCAAAGCAGGGGAGAGGAGGCCCAGGGTCACACAGATGCTCTGAGTAGAGTAGGGGTCACAGCTTCTGGCCCATGGATCGGGGCTGTCTGTATTGACACCAATGCAGAAATGAGCTGGCACTCATTCATTCATTCATTCAGCAAACCTTTACTCAGCATGTACTGGGCACCAGGCATTATTCTAGTAAGCAGAACCACCAAGGCCCCAGCCCTAGTGGGATTCACTTTCCAGTAAAGCAAGACAGGTGACAAGTGAACAAATATTCAAGAAATATCATTTCAGGGGCACCTGAGTGCCTCAGTGGGTTCTGTGTCGTCTGACTTCGACTTCAGTCACAATCTCAGGCTCCATGAGTTCAAAGCCCCACGTCATGCTCTCTCCTGTCATGGATTCTGCTTTGGATCCTCTGTCCCACTCTCTCTCTGCCTCTCCTCCGCTCACGCTCTCTCTAAAGAAAAAGAAAAAGAAAAAAGAAATATCATTTCAGGCTGTTGTAAGTGCTACACAGAAACTCAAACAGGATTGCTCCTGATGTTAGCAGCCTTCGAAGATGCCTATGTCCTAAAACCCAGAGCCTTGCAAACATGTGCCCTTAGTTATATGGCAAAAGGCAATTAAAGTTGCAGATAGAATTAAGGTTACTAATCAGGAGACCCTGAGACAGGGAGAGGGTCCTGGAGTATCTGGCTGGGCCCAATGTCTTCATGGATCCTTAAGAGTGGAAGAGAAAAGCAGAAGAGAGAGAAGGAAGAAGCGCCATTGATGAGACACTGCTGGCTTTGAAGTTGGAGGAAGGGGTCCTGAGCCAAGGAAAGCAGGCCACCTCCAGGACCCGGAAAAGGCAGGGAAACAAAATCTCTATGGAGCCTCCAAAAAGGAACACAGTCCTACCTACACCTGGATTTTAACCCAGTGAGACCCTCAGCCTTGTGACCTAGCAGACTGAAAGATAATAAAGACACTGTGTTTGTGGTTGTTGGTTCCATAGCAGCCCTAGGATATAGGACAGCAACTCCCAGTTCTCTCCTCAGAGAGGCCTCTCCTGACCACCTGCTGGGAGGCATTCTCCTGCTCTTTTCTATTCGCTGTTACAGTTTCCCTCACTGAACTTACCACAATTTTAATTCAATGACTCACTTGTTTACTTTGGGAGGCAAGGCAGAGGGTCTCCACAGGGAAGGTCAGGCCTGAAGGATAAAAACACACCAGCCATGCACAGAGCTGTCCAGAACTACTCTCCTGAGAGGCGTAGACAGAAGGCAGGAGCAGACAGAAGGCCAGGCCTAAAACCAGTCGGGATGCAGGAAAGCACACCCCAACTTGCTCCCCCCGGGACCCGCTGGGCACCAGAACCGCCTCACGCAGCAGCCACCGCCACCCTTCCTTCGTGGCAGCTCCTGGACATGTGTCTTTATCCTCTGACCAGCGGTCTGACCTCATGTCCTTGGGTATTCATTTCAAGAGGGCAGCACATCCTCTCGGAAACAGGGTGGAAACCACCAACTAGAGCAACACCATCTGCCAGCAAACAGGAAGACCCCCAGGGGACTACGTGGAACATGGTGCCTGCTGGGAAAGAACTCACCCTAAGAGGAAACGTTCTTGGGAATGAGGATGATGACCAGTAGCGAAGCTTGGGGGTGCAGGATGGGGAGCGGGGGACACTGAGTCCCAGGGAAAGAGAGAGACGATTAACGCTGCACTCACTGTTGTGCTGAAATTCTACTACCTGTTGGCCCTTCTCTGTTCCCCTCCCTCCTTCTTTCTCTGGCTTCAACTTGTAACTTGTGCCCCAAACCAAATCCAGAATCTTTTCTGCAGACCATTCCCTGCGCCTGGTGGAGGAGGCCCCTCGTCCATCATCCAGGCTCAGCAGCCTTTACCTCCCCCACCCACGGTGTGTGCCTCCTCCCCACGCCTGCTTCCTCCAGCAGCACTCAGCCTGGCCTAGAACCTCAAAGCGGGTGACAGCACTCCACTGCTTCACTGAACTGTCCCCTCATCACCCTCAGGGCCTGGAAAGGGTGCCAGCGTGGGGTGGGTTTGTTTTGGGCCGTGGTGCCATGCTGTGTTTTGTGTTGCTTTCTCAAACAGTGACTGTGGTATTTCATTCCTGGTTGAGTTGCTCAAATCCCCACCCGAAGTTCCTCTGCCAAGGCCAGGAGAGATCTGTGGGGAAGAGACACCTACTTACACGCAGGCCTAAGCCAGGGCTCCAAGTGGCTCTTCAACCAGGCAAGACTTTGGACTCATTTCCTCCCAGTGAGCCCTTAGATTAATTTCCTCCTTCCGGGGAAGATTGTTTAACAGGGCAGGGAGGTTTCTTCACAGGCTTCTTCGCAGGAGGGCAGGGCCAGGGCAGGGCCAGGGGGAGCCCACCCAAGTGCCCATGAGCCACTTTGTCCCTACCTTTGGGCCTGCTGCATCTAGAGAGACCACCTGGGAGGCCCCAGCCCCTCCAAGAACCAGCAGGCTGGCCTCCCTCAGCTGCCGGCCCAGGGGGTTGGCTGGCTGGGGTCCAGGACCCAAAGCACCAGCTGGAACATTTCATCTTCTCTACTGACGCAGGGACGTGGGAGCCTTGAACCCTCAGGTATGTTCACCAGCCTGGAAAGGGCTATACTTCGGGTTCCACATTATTGACAGAAATGAAAATAGAAGTAGGGCAGACGGAAGATAAGGAACGTGCAGGCAGGACATGCAAGCCAGGGATCTGATCGTCTGCATCGCAGGCTTTTTTCCTCAACCACGGGAGCCCTTTGGCGTTCATTCATTCGTTCATCTCTTCATTCAAAAAACATTTGAGCATCAACCATGACTCACACCAGTATTCGAGGAATGAACAGAGAAGGCCCCAAATCTCATTTTTCTCTGAAAATAATGATCTGAAAACTTACAACAAAGTATGTGATCTTTTTTTTTTTTTTTTTGAGAGACCAGAGAGTGCACGAGTGGGGAGATGGGCAGAGGGAGACAGAGAAAGAGAGAGAGAGAGAGAGAGAGAGAGAATCTCAAGCAGGTTCTATGTTCAGCACAGAGCCCGACACAAGGCTCATTTTCGACCCTGAGATCCTGACCTGAGCCGAAATTAAGAGTCGAACACTTAAAACCGACTGAGCCACCTGGGTGCCCCAAAGGTGTTGTAGTCTTGATAAATTTTCTAGCTGTGTAATTTTGGGCTAGTCTCTTCCTTTCACTAAACCTCAGTTTTCTTATCTGTAAAATGGGAGTGAAAGTGTGGCTATCCCCTATTAATCCCTGTAGTTCTCTGTCTAGGCATCTAGGATAATAATCACAAAAACACATAAAAGAGCATCTATTATGTGCCAGGCTCTGTGTCCTATCTAGGGCTTATCTAATCTTCATATCACCTCTGTGAGGGAGGCACCATTATCACTCCCATTTTGCAGATGAGGAACGAAGGCACAGAAAGACTCAAAAACTCGCCTGAGCAATGTCACTGCAAAATGTATGCCCCCGGCACTAGGTACTACTGCCTCTCTGCTTCGGTGGATTCAAAGTCCGTGGCTGGAACAGAGCCGGTACGGGAGGCTAACTCAGTGAGCATTAACTGAGCACTTCCTACATGGCAGTTAAACAAGGACACGATGATTAACAAGACAGGATTTTTAAAAAACAGGTATGGCTCTAGTCATCCGGTAAAAAACAATTTGTACAGTCATTTCAAAATGCTCTGGACATGTACCATAAAGGAGGTAGGAGTCAGGACAGACTTCTCTGAGCATAAATTTGCTGAGGAATGCCAGCCAGAGCAGGGGAGGTGAGCATTTGGCAGGATCTAAGAGAAGGAGGAGAGGGAGGAGGGGCGAGGGGGGGCAGTCCTGCAGGGAGGGGGCAGGCGCTGGCAAAGGGAGGTGAGGATGGCGCGGTGCTCATGCCCAGGCTGAGCATAGTTGTGAGGAGGAGTTTGGCTTTACCCAGTGTTTGCCCTAGTCTGTCCTTCTGTCTGTCTGCCCTGGTGCGTCCGGCAGCTCGCCATTCAGGCTGGCCACTGCCCATCGGATGCCGTGCCAGGCCCGCCAGTATGAGACGGGCTGGTCTCCTGCGACGAGGCACAGATTCTGTCACACGGTCACCATTCACGCCCCTCTCTCTGAGCTCACCTCCTTGTCTACACACAGCCCCCCCCCAACAGCTCCAATAGGAATTTGGAAGCTTGCAAGGCCGAGGGTTATCCCCTCAGGCGGGGAATGCTGGAAGCCATGCTTTGCCAACATGTGTTTGGGTTGGGCAGCTCCTTCTCAGGTGAGACCAGCCTGTCTAATACTGGCTGGGCAGCAACCAGCCCGCAGGGGGGTGGCAGCCTCCAGCTAGCCTGGTGTCCCACAGCATGGGCCTCGTGGAAAGGGCAGACACTTGCTATGCTTGGTGCCAATCCCTTGCTTTGGGAAGCCCTGGGAAACAGAGGTGGGAATGTCAAGGTCTGCTCCCCAAGGGCATAGCACGGGGAGACAAAGATGTACATGTCGTGGAAAGAGCACCACTTTTGGAGTTTGAATCCCAGCTCTGCCTTTCTTCTGACTGTGTTACATTGGGCAAGTTGCCTCACCTGTCTGTGGTTGTAACTTTGGCTGAAAATGAGAAAATCCTTGTGTATCAGGTGGTACCCTTCTGGGTACAAGTGACAAAAAAAACCAAAAACAAACAAAAACAAAAACCCTCAAACCAGCCCAACAAATGAAGGATGTATATTGGCTCACATATGGAAAAGTCCAGAGATATACCGCCTTCAGGCAAGGCTGGATCTAGAAGCTCGGTTACATCCCCAGCACTCTGACTCTATCTCTGGGATCCTTTCCTCCATGTGGCTTTGTTCTCAGGCAAGGTGCTTCCACACAGTGGCAGATACCCATCAACATCTCCAGTTCTAAGTCATCTCAAGTCAGCAACCCCAGCAGAAAGGCAGATCCTCTTTCCTGGTAAGTGTGTCAAAAGCCCTGTGAGGGCTCTGATCTCCTCAGCCTGGGTTGCCTGCCCATCTCTGTGACCATGAAATGGAGTTAGGCTTGGGCCACATGGCCACACTTAGAGCCAGGAATGGGGCCAGCCCTAGCCAACTGCACAGCAGAGAGCAGAGGAAGGGAGTTTGATTCCCAAAGGAAAATCAGGGTGAGCACCAGACAAAGGGAAAATGGATGCTGGAAAGACGACCAAAGCAGCAGGCATCCACCACAGTCTAGCTCTAGCCACCCCTACTTCATTTCATCACAGTTAGTAAAGTCATGGATGGCAATATTGCATCAGTCGCTCCACTTGGGTGACCTTGGGCAAATCACTTAATCTCTCTAAGCCCCTCACTGGTAAAAATGAAGTCAATAAAAGAATCTGCTTCACAGGGCACCTGGGTGGCTCAGTGGGTTAAGCGTCCAACTTCGGCTCAGGTCATGATCTCACAGTTCGTGAGTTCAAGCCCCATGTCAAGCTCTGTGCTGACAGCTCAGAGCCTGGAGCCTGCTTTGGATTCTGTGTCTCCCTCTCTCTCTGCCCCTCCCCCACTCACACTCTGTCTCTCTCACTCTTTCTAAAAAATAAATAAACATTAAAAAAAAAAAAAAAAGAATTTGCCTCACAATATTGTTGGGAACATTAAGTGAAAGGACACCAGGCTCCAAACTGGCCAACTAACAGTATTAATACTTATTAGAATCATTATTATGACTATCATTAAGATTATTTCTCCTTTAGAGATGTCTGGATCCCACACATCTCTCGGGAAGATTTATCTCCCAAAGCCTTCCCAAAACCCCATTGACTTCATTGTGGAGGCCACCATCTTGATTAATCAAAGAGGCCAAGACCCAGTTGTCTCTCCTGGAAAGAATTAGAATTGCCCACTGGGTCTGAGGTGAATTTTGTCATGCTTGACTTGCTGAAGAGATTCAGACAGGCCACCAGCAAGCCTGCCATGGCTCAGGGGATGAACCCAGATGCTCCAGACAGTCCCATCCTAATACAATAGTTCTCTCCAATGACATACAGCCAGACTCTCAGCAAAGAGAAATTCTGGTGGCACAAACTGTCCTCTCCGGCTAACGTACCCAAAGATGCCCCACAGCCTGAGATTACCCCACCCCCTTGAGGAGGCGGGAAGGGCCCCACAACCTGAGATTACCCTACGCCCTTGAAGAAGGGGAAGGGCTGCATGTTTGGCCAGGTGACCTCCTCTTTTCTCCTGCTGCTCTATCAGGGCCTGGAGGAACCCATTCCCTATCCAGAGCACACTATTCTCTCGTTCTGGAGGGATTTCTGCCTCCGCGGGAGGAAGGATGGAGGCAAAGGTGCATCCCCAAGGCAGAGCGCAAGGGGGCCTACTTGCTCAATAACCATCACTGTCCATAGCAGGTACTGTGCTTGGGGTGTATTCTTGAATTTAATTTTTACTAAATTAGGGATTGTGGTGGCCACATATAGATAAGGAAACTAAAGCTGAGAGGACTATATCCACAGCCCATGACAGAGCGCAGTTGGGGTTCCAAAGCCTGCATTCAACTACCATATTATATAGACTCGATATCCCTGGGGCCAGATGAAGCCTCTGCAAACCTGAAGGTGCAAATATGGCTAGAGCTGCTATTTCCTGGGTACCTCCTGAGTGCCAGGCACTGAACAAAGCACCTTAGGTGATAATCCAGTCGGGTGAATTTGGAGGAAAGCCCAAGGACAGGTGGCTGGGCCCTAAGTAAGCAGGGGGCTGGTAGATCCACTCCTGAGAAGGACACAGGCTGCTGGGTAGGAGGAACAGAATTGTAGGAACTGTCTCTTATCCCACAGAAACCTTCCTTCACCACCACCAATGGTTGAGCCAAACTCAGGCAGGTTGAAGCTCAGGAGCTCCAGGTTCGTGTCCCCCTTGGGCTAAGAGGGTGCAACACCCAGATCAGGGTCGAACAGTCTAAGGCCCATGGCCAAATCCAGCAGCCACCTGTTTTTATAAATAAAGTTTTATTAGAACACAGCCACGTTCATTCATTTACATACTGCTCCTACCGCTGCTTTCCCACTACAATGGCAGAGTTCAGTAGCTGTGACTGGGAACATATGGCCCAGAAAGCCCAAAATATTTCCTCTGGTCCTTTGCAGAAAACTGCAGAACCCTGGTCTAGAGGAGTCAAAGTGATGCAAAAGGGCTCCTGAGCTCATCACTGGGATCCTTTTCTCCCTCTGTCTCTTACCAGCTGTGACCTGAGGCTCTGTGCCTCGGTTTCCCCAAATTCCTCATTAAGCTGCTGACGATTAAATTAGTTAAAATACGCAAACCTCAGAGCAGCTGCCGGCACATGTGTTTTTGCCTTATTCTGGGAAACATCCCAGGAACTTGGGGAGTAAGAGGCCTCCTCACACCTTCTCGCATCTCCTGCTGTGCAGCCTTGCATGGCCCAGTAATTCTAGCACCAGCCGGAGCTGGAGAAGACCATCAAAAATCAATAAATAAAATTAAAACAGGCCATAATGGAAACAATGGGTTTATTTCCTTCTGAAATAAATGTCACTGGAACAAATGGCTCAAGCCACCATCCTTATTGTTTACAGATTTATTTGTGGTTTCTGTCTGTCTGTATTGGTGACATGATCAATAATTGCCTATAAATACCGGAGGCTTACAAGAAGGACAATTTAGAGGATGAAAGGCAGCCTCTGGTTCCTTTGATTACCTTTCCCAGGCCTGGACCTCGTGGTCAGGATTCAGGACAGCCTTCAGGGATGACTGGAAACTCAGGCCAAGTGGCAACCAGGTCTGGGCAGGGCCACACATGTCCCCTGGTTCCAGGTGGGACTTTTAGAAGCACCTGACTCATGGGGGGGGGGGGGGTGCACACACACGAATGACCACATGCTAGTGAATGTGTGTCTGTCAATATGTCTGTCACTTTCAGTATCTTCATGTCTCTGCTTCTTTTCCACTCATCATGTCCTTCGACTTCAGTCTTCTTGTCTACATGCTGAGTGTCTCCCTCAGGCACTGTGGCCCCTGTCCCCCTGCAGCGTCCACCACCCACACCCAAGCATGCGGAATTTGTCCCTTGTGAGGAATCCTGCCCCCATGGGCGAACAGAAAGAAGCCCATGGAAGCGTAATTAGCGCCCCCTGCCTTTGGAGACAAACTCCACGGAATTTCCAAGGATGACGAGGAAAATAGCCTGAGTTTGCATTTAGCCAGAAGAGGCTACTCAGATTCCAAAGTCTGAGCCCATCCTCTGGACAGAGTTCACTTTGGAGAGCACTGTTGAGTGTGGGGTAAAGGACGAAGACAGCTGGGTGGAGGGAGCAAGCTCTGGTGTGTTTGGGATGGTTTCTCCCCTAGTTTCTTTCCCAAACAGAAAGCCACCACTTCCTTCTAATGACACTTACTGCACAACTGCTATGCCTTGGTGGTAGCACCGGGGACCTGATGAGGAAGGCCCTCAAGAGTCACAGCCTAGAGAGGAAGATGGCCTCCAAATCAGGCCGACCATGAAGCATGACAAGGTGCCTTACGGCGGATTCTCCACTGAAAGGCCAGGAGCCAGGGGTCAGGGAAGGCTTCTTGGAGGAGGTGCTACCTTCTCCACACTGAGCTGAGGATTTATCACTGGCCCCGTTTAATTCTTCCCATGGCCCCCTCATGACCCTGAGAACAAAGCCCAAGGTCATTACATTAGCCTCATCCTTAAGGCTCTAATGAATAGTCCCCTTCCCTCTTCACTTTGGTCTCTACCATCAGAGTATCAGGTTCCACCTCTCCTCTGAGCCTCTGCACATGCTGCTCCCACATACTTGTCCCTCCCAGCTGTGCTGTGCATTTCCAGAAGGCGAGAACTTGATTGGTTCTCTGCTCTGTCCCAGGCCCCCCAGCATTGTGATGGCACAGCAGAGAGCCTCAGGAAATGTAGGATGAATGACTGAGTTGGCTTTTAAAAACAAAAAGATATCACAGAGATCCCCAAATAACTCCTGACCAAGCAGACTCAGAAGCCTCAGACCTGCTCAGCTCACGACCGTGTGCTGTCTCAGGCTTGTCCGAGAGAAGAAAGAGGCTTCTGTCACATCCAGTATGTCTCCTCTGGCTCCAGAAGGCCCATGCTATGGAGAGGACCCAGCTCCAAGTCAGGTTGGCCCTTTTCCCCCCTGAGAAGTCCCCACTCCAAGGATGACAAATCTCATGTGCCAGCCCCAGGAGACTGGTGGGAGTCAGTCTGAGCCCCCTCTGTTCCTAGCCAGAAAAATGCTGTGCTTGCTTCATTAGGTCAGTCATGGACGGAGGTCACAGAGTGGCTGCACAAAGGCTCGTGTGTGCCCTCCCTGCGCCAAAGATTCAGTTACTCACATGAAGGAAAATGTGAGCCTTCAGTGGCCTGAGGTTAGGACCCTCTCCTGGTGTAGAATTATCCTTTGGGTTCCAGTTAAAATACCTCCTTTTCCTGAGTCAAGCCTTAGTCCCAGGCACACAGAACCCCCGTTGGACCCAGTTCCCTTCCTTGTTGGGATTTGGTGAGTGTGAGCCTGCCTGAGACCTGCCAGCCGCCGGTGTTGTCACCATCTGCTTCCTGCAGCTGGTGGTGTGGATCTCCCCTCTGCTACCACAGCTGGGAGACCGCGGGCACGTCACCCACCCCCTTCAGGCCTCAGCTTCCTCCGCTGAGAAGAAGAGACAGTAGTTTCCAACTCACAGGGTTGCCATGGAGATTTGGCGAGACAGATACATAAAATTCTTAGCCTAATTCCAGCTGCACAGTAAGCACTCAATAAATGGTAGCTAGTTGTGTTATTTTGTTGATAGTTTATTATTTTTATTATTAGCTCAAGCAAGTTTGGCTCTCAAGAGCTCACTGAGAAAAATCTGGCCCCTCTCTCCTGACAGAGGGGCTCCCCCGGGGCTGGGGTTAAGGCAAGAAGAAAAGTCAGAAAAACATGCTTCCAGGAAGAGGTGCAGGTGGCCGGA